CTATTTCATTTATTATATCAACGTAATATGAGATCTAAAATCTATAGTCTACTGAACGCTTATTGTGAATCCATTAAACCATATAAAGTTCGTTGTAATCTCTAAAAATTTTAACCGCTTTTATTTCTTATAACTAACTTCCTTATTACACATTAAAAGCTCTTTATACTATGTTCTAAAACAGTATATACGTAGCTTAGTGAAGCGTTTTATCTATTCTTAAAAAAGAAGTTTGTTTTGTTAGTTTTTTTTATTAAGCCTAATACATTCGACCATTTAGTAATTACATATACTGTAGTTCTAAAGTTATAATATACGTAGAAATTTTACCTTCTAAGCAAAATACCTCTAGGTTGTGGATCTTTTTGGATTATTTTGCATAGTAACTGTTGAAGCTTCACTGAAGGTAGAGACGGTCTTAATTTTCATTTTTTACTTGTGAAATGTTACATTTTTAAAAAGTACTCTAAACTGTATAAATACAATTGTAAGTAATTGACCAATCAGAAGAAAGTTATCCTATAGGGGTTAGTTGATGTCCAAAAAATTTTACCATTTTGTGTAACCTGAGCTTCCGGACTTAATTAATTATGCCCGAAATCAAATTTTGGCTAATAAACCCCGTTAACCGATATACTAAAGTTGCTCGAGATCGTAATTTTGCTATAATATTAGCTTGTATTAGGCTTTGTATTAGTGCTTCGCAGGTCCGACCCGTCTCAATCATCGGATCGATCCCAGAAGCTCGGGTTACACTAATGATGTAAATAAATCGATCATTAATAAACAACCGGCAGATCAATCTGGACATGTCAGTATTTACCGACAATCACTTCACCGACAGCTCATTTAGCCGACATCACGCCAAGTGAAATTTAGTAAAATATATCTGCAACTAATCAAATGCTTAACCCCGGACTAATCATTGATTATCTACATAAATTTTGAATAGCAAATCGGCCGAATTTGGGTCAGGGATGGGCCGGAGCAAAGTGCATTATCATTATTTCTGGGACACCTGAAGAATTTTCAGATGACAGAAATATCCTCTGTTTCATTAGGTAAATTACCTAACTCACCGGAAATTACATCGCTGTCTTCGGACTGAAGGTCTGGGGACAGCGATATAGTTTCCGAGAAGTTAGGTAATTTACCGAATGAAACAAAGGATATTTCGGTAATCTGAAAATTCTTCAGGTGTCCCAGAAATAATAATAATAGCTATAAGCAATAATACCGGCCGACTATATTATAGCAAAATTATCATTTGGGCAGCTTTACTTAGTGCATAGGCTGCCACTTTATTAGTAAATTTTGGGTGATTTTAGAAAAAATTTATTACAGCTATTATCATTATTTCTGACCGAAATATCCTCTGTTTCATTCGGTAAATTGCCTAGCTCTCCGGAAATTACATCGCTGTCTTCGGACTGAAGGTCCGGAGACAACGATATAGTTTCCGAGAAGTTAGGTAATTTACCAAATGAAACAGAGGATATTTCGGTCATTTGAAAATTCTTCAGGTGTCCCAGAAATAATGATAATAGCTGTAATTCCGGCCTATTCCGACCCAAATTCGGGCCGATTTGCTGAATTTTGGTGGACCCTCTAATCTACTCTAAATGAATTTTAAACGCTAAATTTCTTTGGCCAATAAAATCGACCTGATCGGCTAAGTGATTTTTTTAGGGAAAATATTTTATAACACCCTTATTCAAAAAAATATATTTTATAAATTTTTTCTATGTAATATATGCGCAGAATGTAAAAAATCCGGGTACTTTAAACAATACTATACAGTATTACAAGCAATCGACTTGGGCATAGCCGACTAAGCTGACTTTTAAATATCAACTTAGTCGAGTAGGTCGACAGCAAACATTAAATACTAACGGTTGTAAGAAAATAATAATTGCAATAAATATTAGAGCTGTAAGTCAATAATAAAAATTAGTTTAATAACATCAATTATTCGAAACGAAGCGGACTCAATAAATAACTCAAATTTCCGAAGGATCATAAAAAATAAGTTTGTACATAGTATAATGAATCAGTCAATTTACCAACTACAGTCCGTGAAAAATAAGTCACAGAGTTTTAAATTAATAAAATACACAATATGGCAATCTGGTACTCTCATGCAAATCAATATAAAATAAATCATCGATAGTTCATTCATGCTTGAAACTTAATATCTTCCAAAACGGGAATAATTTCTTCCCATAATTCAACGCCCTGCAATAAATATAGATAGATTCTTTTTACAATAAAAAGTAAAAATGTAAACTTATTAGCAGGATAAATTATTCAATTACCTGACGATAAAATTCGACGTGGCTGTCAGCATATGCAAGTAAACAATCCTTCATCTCAATATTCTTAGCGATTTGAAATATCTCGTATTCTTTAGCAACTTCTAAGGAAAATTGATCAGAAACATCATTGCTATTCTCAACTTCTTTCTTGAGCTAGATCATAAAGCAACAGTTAAATTCATTTTATCGCCTTTATAGGGAATATAAATAATCAATGAAATAATTTATAGTTACCTCTGCAATTTTTGCATCAAGCTTCTGCAAGCGTTCTCTTTTCGCTTGCTCTTGATCTACACCTTTGATATTATCAACTGTTTCACGTAAAAAGGAAGATATACCGGTAGATGATTTGCCAGTGTTGATAAGATTGTCACGTTCCATAATAGCGTTTTGCAAGTATTCCGAAAGATCTTCAAAATCAACTTGCTTTTGGTCTCGCAACTTTAAAACATTCTGTGAATGAGAATGACTATTTAAATTGATAGCTAATATTAAAAATAAAATAGAGATTTATTTAATCTCCTAATGCGTATACCTTGACACAATGGCAATAGGATAGATAGTCGCGGATTTGGGCTGAATAACCATTTTCTTCTCGGCATGTCTAAGGAAAAAATACTGGATTAGCAAAATTTTTCAACGTTCCGCGATTGCACGTCTTGTAGCCATCAAAGAATGGCAAACCATCCGTTTCCACGAGTCAGCAAATTTTGAAACCGTTTCACCGAACTGTTCAAGAGGTAAAGTAATTCCAGTTTCTAATTGACCTAATCCTGCTATACTTGAACCGAATTCTCTATAATCTGCCTCTAAATCTGAAGGTTACAGAATAAGAACTCAATTTATCGCACTCAATAAAGAAGTATTGACAAATATAATAGTGACTAATAGAAATTACCAGTCTGCCTTTTGATAATCCTTTGATATAGTCTATCAATTGTTTGCAGATTTTCTTCAAGCTTGTCAACACTTTCTTTAATTTCAACAAATTTTTCATCTGGTTTTTTAAGTTTAGAAAATGCATTGAGTAAAGCATCTCCCAAATTTTCAAAAACCCCATCTCCTGGTTTCCTTTGTCTATATAAAGAAGATTCTTTATTCTATTTACAAAATAGAATAATATTTTCTTTTAAATTAATATAATATTATATCTAAAAATCACATAACGACAAATTACCCATTCTCTTGATTCCAAAAATATTCTGAAGTATTCACTCTTTTGCAAAGTAGGATGGCGGCTTAATCTTGCCAAGAACCTTTGAAGACTATTAAATTAAATATATTCGCTATATATATTAAACGTATATAAAGTCACTCATAAAGACTAAAGACTGAATATATGGTTAATATGATGTACCTTGCTCGTCGCTTTTCTACAAACTCTGGGCCAAACCGATCACCAGTTATATATTCTACACACATACAGTAGGTAACAGGCACGTTTAATTTGATACCATAGATAGCTTGCAATGAACGTTTTAATAACCTTACCCATTCGATGTCTATCAGGCAAAGGTGGCACTACACACGCGGCAAAGTCCCGTGAAAGGGAACTATGTAACCACACGAAATCCTGAAATCTTCTTCGAACATTCACAGTAGGTGATGTAAAGGTATCCAAGGTCGTCTTAATTTTAAGAATAATTATGGGATCTTAGCTATTATAACCTTCGTTATAAGGCTTTGTTTCTTACCGTACCTTTGTCGTTATTAAATAAGAAATGAAAGCATCCTTAGTTCCATCAAATTCTTTCAATGGATCTGTGACAGTAATTGTCATAGGAAATGCATTAGGTATCGCCGCATTAGACGCATTCAAATGTAATAGCTGATCTGAATTCATGGATTCGCAATTTGACACGATGATCATTTGTTTTACTTTTATAAAATCCTCACTGTCACATGAATATTATTATCATTATGATTGGTTGATCTTGCCGATCAGGAAGCAGGTGCCTAAATAAAACGTCTAGGCATTGATGGGAGAAAAGGACGCAGCCAGGGCGGCCCCCCCTAAGTGCGGGTCACGGGTTATCGCCGCCACATTCATTAGGGTGTCCAGGATTATGCGATGCGGCGTTATGCGCATAATCAACCATTTTTTCGCATCGCATATGCTTCGCATAATTAAGCAAAAAAACGCATTCAGGTCATGTGGCTCAAA